AAAATTGTTATCTAATTCAATATTCGCTATATTAAGACTATCTTTATTCAATTCTTTAAAAAAATCATCAAACTTTTTGATATCAATGTCATTATTCACTGTTCGTTGAGACCTTTTAAAAATTCTAAAAATCACGTGGATTTTTCGTACGTAATTCTTTCATTTTCTTCTTCAAGTCATGATTAAACAAACGAATGCTATCATCAATATTTTTTAAATATATTTTTTCACTATTTCTTTGTCGATCTAACGTTGAAAATATATGACCAATAATGTTTATACAATCTTAATGACTTTTTATAATCTTTTCTACTAGTTTTACAATCGTGATTAATCCATTCTTCATGACTACAATCTTTCGTAAATACACCAACAGTTTTTTCAGCTGAATCAAGCAAAATCTTAATAACTTTGGTAACAATTTCAATTACTTTACTAATATCATCATTTATTTCTAAGATATGTGCCAATAATTCATTGACCTCATCTCTGTTTATGTTACTTTTAAAAATCAGTACTCTTTTCATGTTTTCATTTACCTATATATTTGTCATTATTTCGAATACATGCATTTACTTTTAGCATGTCCGATTTTACATTACAATTAAGTTGTAAATTATTGGCGTATGAATATCCGAATATAAATTGCTACATTGCCTTATTTCAAAATCAACAATTTTGTGAAACATATTTGCAGAGCTCAATACGTAGTCAACTCCGCTTGTATTACGACTTGTTGGCTTACCAACTTTGTCAGAAAAAAATCGACTGTTCATGATAATTAAATTACTATTTTCACAAAAATTTTCTGCCATATGTATTTACTGTTGGATCTTGAGGGTTTCGTTTCCTCGGTTTTTTATTATTTAATTACTATTAATCAGCACACAATTATCAGGATTGTTATACCAATTTTTGTATAACATGCATAATTATGGAAATATTGTTTCTAAGTAGATTAATTGTATGAAATTTACCTTAGAAAACACAGGTTTGAGTTATGTATGAAACAATCAATGTATTTTAAGAAATGTTGACATCAAATTATATGTAAAGCAAATTTTACACGACCAGTTTATTCAAAAGTGTTTAGTGATGCTGAAAACTCCTCAAGAGGTGGATACTATTTACTGTTTAAACACGATTTTGGCTTAGAAAATTACTTAGTAAGATTGAAAAAAGAAAATAGTATATATATTACCAAACTTAGATGTTCAAATATCAAAATTCCATTAGAAACTGGTCGGTGGCATAACATTCAAAAGAGGATAGATTATGTACTTTGTGCAAAAATAATTATATTGGAAATCTGTTTCATTACTTATTTGTATGTCGCAATAACGAGGTTACAAAATTTAGACATGCATATATCCCAAACTACTATATTGAAAACCCTTCAGAATATAAAATGAAAGGTTTGGTGTCTTTATGTAATATAAAATTCTTGAATAACTTGTCAATTTTCACAAATAAACTTATGAAATATCTATGATTATGAATATATTATCACCATTAACATTTTTTCGACTGGCGATCTTAGATCCCATTGTTATAGCTCTGAATGATTTTCTTGTGTTATTAATCTGTATACTTGTGTGCAGAGAATCAGGTATAATGAACCATTACTTTAGGAAGTAACTGACATCATTAGGTATATATATATATATGTCTTTCTATCTTGTTCACCATTGTATAATATTATTTGTGTCATTTGTCTGCCTCTTGTTACAGTGTAAACTTTCTAGAGTGTTAATAAAAGTTGAAGTCAGAGGTTGATACATACAAAGGATGTCTAGAATGCCTATTTTAGAAAATTCATTAAAATCAATCAATTCATTAACAAATGTATGATAAAATCATCCATATTATAATAATCAGCTATGATACAAGTTCGGATATTTAAAACGTCAAATAAGCAGACATGTTGTGAATCTTTATACATATTATGCAATTCTACCTCTATCTAAGATATAGCATTATCTGCTGTATATAATGTATTAACAGGTAGAATACACTTTACTGCGGCCAAGCTTAGCGAAAGGTTGTGCAACATAATCAGTCAAACAAACTTTATTAGCACATACTTACAACTTCTCGTCCAATCAAATTGCTTGAATTTGCCTTCTAAATTTCATAGTACATACTTTTTTCGTGTACTAAGTAACTACGCATGAATGACAACAAGGGTAAGATTTCATTGTATCGTAATCAAGATATTAAAACAAAAATTGCTACTGGCTATTTTGAAGTAAATGCTGTGTTCCAAATTAAATTAAAAAGTTTGTAATTAGTTTTCAAATTGATTTTTAAACATCCTACTATTTAATCTTCGGATCTAACAATGTGTTTGACCATTAAAAGTTTTTTTCATTTAAATAAAGAGCAACACATATGGTTCTTTATGCCTTAATTAGAGTACAATGCCATCTAAAAAATTATCTTCCATGCAATTACTTTGTACATAAAAAAAGAGTGAACCATGAAACCTTGTGAAAGAAAATTAAAGCAATTTGATCTATTTCGTCATGAATTGATTGATTATTGGTTGCTTAATGTCCAGTGACAAATATTTCATGCATGTTCAGGACAATGTGAATTTAAAAAACGTGATAATGTCTGAAGAGAATGTGCCACCTATATATAAACACATGTTCTGTTATTTTTTTTTTTTTTAGTTTTTACTATTTACTATTTAATAAATAACCAAATCATAAGCCCTAGTATCTTTGATCTAATGGTAGGCTTTTTAACTATCCACAAGACTACCTATGGGTACATACCAGGGGCAGATCCAGTCATTTTTAAAAGGGGTTCCAACCTAAGTTAAAAGAGGGGGGCAACTGTATGTCCTCATATGTTTACAATTTATTATAGCTTTAGTTTTTATTTGAAATTGGAAAATTTTTTCAAGAATGTAAAGCTTCCACTGCAATTTAATTATTGCCTGCTTTTGGTCAATTTATTGTGTCATCTTACCATGTGAAGAAGTACATGTATAGTAAAACACCGCTTTTTATCAATAAACATACTTACACCAGCAGTTACCATCTTTTCATTCTGGAGTCGAGGGATATTTTACAATGATACGAGTGAGTAGATTTACAAAACCACGTAAATGAGCTACACGTAGTCAGCCAAAACATATCAATAGACTAAGTACAGGATTATTCGAGTTGTAAATATGTGCTAAATTGGATAGTATATGGAAATGTATAAATTTATAGAATATTTATATAAAACAGAAATTACAAATAATTAAACAAAAAATAGATTGTGTTTATCTTTAAAAACAAAAAAGTTATGTATTTCTTTCTAAAGGTAAAATACAACCACAAATCTGAAATTTTGAGCAAATATCTGAAATTGTGACCTCATTCTACTCAAAAAGTAGCACATGAAGGTATATTTTTTATTACATATTTGATTAAATCAGGTTAAAAATAGCCTATATGGGAATTTTCATCAAAATTTCATTATGGGATCAAAACTGTATCGTATGCCCTTAACTACAAAAATAACCAAATTACATACTGAAGATTATGCCCGATTTTTAAACCAATAGGTTTCAAATAGTGTTATAAACTGTCATGTTCATTATTCTTTTGCAATGTTTAGGTATTCGACTTAGGATAGTGTGATTTTTTTTCTGATTCAGTTTACTTGACTTTGAAGAAAACAAATCCCGAAATTCTCAGAACAGTTAACCAACCATGCTTTGTTTAGAGAAAATGGAGATGGTAAAACACTGGCGCAGTGGAAAGAAACTCCAGCGATATACTTCATGAATTTATATTCACTGTTTTGCGATTGTCGGTTGAAAAACGAACGTAAATTATATTAGAATTCAATTCAGTAATAAGTAAATTCAGTTATTGTAATTATATAACTTAGTATGATTTTAATTGACGGTGTGTTCGATTATTTTTTTACTGGTCACTTTCATATGCTTATTAGTTTTGCCCGCGAAATATTAGTCCGTGCAATTTACCTCGTGTGGTTTTGTCATTTGGATTCAAACCTTACACGGAGCTTGACCAAAGCTATAGAATTTAAAACTAAATTCTACACAGAAGAAAAGATGAGTATTTTTTTTTTTAGTTTTAGAATTAAGCAATGTTTTATAAAGAATAGTAGCTCAATAATTTAAACAGTTAAACTTGTATTTCATTTGTTAGATAATTTTAACTTTGTTAAATGCTTTAAATAGTCGTTAACTTTTTCTTTGGTGTAATATAATTGAATTTAAATTTTGTTATTGCGTAAATTGTCGATAATCTTTTCATGGATATTATTTTATATTTTTATTTGTAAATTGAGTAGATAGTTATAATTATAGTGCGAGTTGTTATAACTAATTGTTTAACTGTCTTAATATGCTAATGAACATTTCCCATGTTATTTAATTTTAATCCAAATCCAAATCTTGCAGTACTAAGTAACCGGTGAGTAAGCCATATATCAATTTCAACATAAATGTATATATAATTTCTTTTTCTTCCTAAATTAGCATGAAATAGGTGACACTGGGCGTTAAGCAACCATCAATCAATCATTATTTTCGTAAACTATTGCTAGTCATCAAGGATGTTAGTTAATACATTTAAATAGATATACTTTTCGATTAAATTGCTTCATAGTTTTCGTGTTTTATAGCCGATTATAGGGTATGAAAATTTCTCATTGATGAAGACCACTTCATTTGATATTTGGTAGATACCTCAATTATTTCTTTTATGACTATCGGTATCATATGTTTGATATTTTCTTTATGAATATGTTTGAAATATCTGCCACTGGACATTGACAGCAACAATCAAGTTTTTGCGCTTTCGTTTTTTATACGTAGTTATTGACATTGTATCTCAATACTTAGTCAATGAACATATTGAAATATTTTTTTTTTTCATATCGATGCAATTGTTTAATTTAGGGATGTAACATTGACAAATGATAGAATATTTTACTAATGCATTGATTAAAATTGTAATTATTTGTTTAAGCCAGTATGCTGAGAGGAAAAGGGAAGAGGGTGCTGCCAAACCGTGCTGCACGCAGGCAGGAAAATATTGTACAGCTTCCGGTAAACAGAAGGCGTCGCACAAGGAGAGCTGAAATAATTGGACAAAATGAAGCCAATCCACAACAGCCGTTAATGCCACCACAACAGCCGTTAATGCCTCCACAACAGCCATTAATGCCACCACAACAACCATTGCCACCACAACAGCCATTAATGCCACCACAACAGCCATTAATGCAACCATAACAGCCATTAATGCCACCACAACAGCCATTAATGCCACCACAACAGCCATTAATGCCTCCACAACAGCCATTAATGCCACCACAACAGCCATCAATGCCACCACATTAGTTATTGCCACAACAAGTTGGAACTCCAAACGTCCCCCAGCAGCCTGCTGAACAACAAGTTCCGGGTCAGGGATGTGTACAACCAGGGCAGCCCACAGCTAGTAATACTGTACAAGATTTTAGTTATACCTACTAGTAATGATGTTGATGTGTTTGTACCACAAAAAATTATAAACCAAATTTGGAATTTAGAATATGTTGATTTGGCCCAATTACTGTATAAAAATTTTTGTTTCAAATATTGATCAACCGAAAAAAGTGCTAGGTTTTGAAGAAGATGGGGACATTTTAATTGAAAGAAACAAATATTCAAAAGTAAAATCATTATCTAACATTGGTGAGTGGACTGAAGGTTTTTTAAATTATATGAAAATTGTATTACAAAGATTTCCGGATTTGGCAAATGAATTGATTAGCTACATGACTATTATTAGGGGGGCTAGTGTACCTTTTGAGAACGTTTATAAATATGACAAGCAATTTCGACTTAGAAATGCTCGAGATCATATGCGTGCATGGGACGTCATTAATGGGCAGCTATGGCTTCAATTTATTGCAGTAGGCATAAATCATTTTCAACAGACATCTTATACTTCTCACACAGTTAACAAACCTTGCTACGATTATAATTTTAAGGGCGTTTGTACTCGTATGAATTGTGTATACAGCCGTTCATGTATAAGATGTAGCCAGTTCCATCCTTTGATGTACTGTACAAATTATTCATATAACCTGTATAACAAGAATAATCCTCGAAGTTCTGTAAGTTCGCGCTATCCTGCTCCTAGTTATCAAAATTACCCTAGGGCACCAGTTACACACAATTTTGCACCAAGGTATCAGTTCAGTGCTAGAGCTACAACGCAGTCAAATAGGTTTTTGAATCCACATAAAAATTTTAACCAAAATACTCGTTTTTTGAATAATTATAGATTTCCTGGTCACCAGGCAAACGTTCCACGGATGCAATTTTAATATTTTCAAATTTTAATTGTTTACAGCTTTCAATCAACAGTATGATATTTGGTGTTTGGGTTTTACCCCTATTAATACTACGGTTTTATGGAATATGTTAAAAGACTTCCCGATAAAATATCGGCAAATATATTATATAATGGTTTTAAATATGGGTTTCGAACACATTATACAGGCCCAAGGGTTGCTTATGAAAGCAAAAATTTAAAATCTGTTTTACAAGATCCAAGTTTAGCATGGAGAAAAGTCATGGGTGAAGTGGAAAATGGCAGAATTGCGAGCCCCTTTTATTATCGACCTATTTCAAATTTACGAGTTTCTCCCATTGGCATTGTGCCAAAGAAAACGGGTGGTTTTCGTTTAATAACGCATTTGTTTTCACCAGCTAATGGCGGTGTCAATGATTTTATCGATGAATTCTATACTTCAGTAAAATATTCAACTTTTGACAATGCAGTAAACATGATAAAAAAGCTAGGTTTTAAAGCGAAAATTGCAAAAATGGATATCAAGTCCTCCATCAGATTATTGCCAATGTTTCCTGGTGAGTTTGATTTATTGGGCTTTAAAATCGAAGATTGGTATTTCATAGAGAAAACGTTGCCCATGGGGTTATCGGTATCCTGTAGTCATTTTAATCGATTTTCTTCATTTTTGCACTGGGCCGTAGAAAGAAAATCAGGACTTAGTGCTATTGATCACTATCTAGATGATTTTTTATTTGCTGGAGCGGAAAATACCGACAACTGTCGGAAATTAATGAGCACGTTTTGCAATGTATGTGTTGAATTAGGGGTTCCGTTAGCTGAGGACAAAACTGAAGGGCCAAGCACGAGAATTACATATCTAGGTATAACAGTAGACACAGAAAAAATGCAAATTCAAATCCCAGAAAACAAAATAATTGAATTGCTTCAAAAGTTGAAAGATACCAGTAATCGTAAAAAGATAACGTTAAAACAATCACAATCTTTATGTGGTTCATTGGCAATTTGTGCCAGGGCTTTACCAGCTGGACGTGCTTTCAGCAGACGTTTATATATTGCATGTCAGAGAGGGAAAAAACCGCATCACTTAATCAGAATTACAAGATATTTTGAATGATATTTTAATTTGGAAAATCTTTTTAGAAAATTATAATGGGATTTCTTATATTTTGGACGACGAGTGGTTGTCGAGTTCTGTTTTAAATCTCTTTACCGATAGTGCTGGGGGAATAGGAGGCGGATGTGGTATATATTTTAATGGGAAATGGTCATATTTAGCTTGGCCTATGAATTGGAAGGAAGAAGTTTTCAGAGACATCACTTATTTAGAAATGATCCCCATCGCATTACCTATTTATTTGTGGGGTAGCTTATGGCAAAGAAAGAAAATTATTTTTCATTCAGATAACCAGTCTGTTGTAAAAATTATTAATTCCTGCTCATCAAAATCACCTCGTGTTATGTCACTTGTTAGACATATCGTATTGTGGTCCTTGCTGGGTAGTTTTCACATTAAAACCGTTCATATTCCTGGTTATAAAAATGTTTTTGCTGATTTAATCTCTCGTGGAAAATTTCCGAAATACAAGGAATAGGCTCCATGTGCAGAACCGCATCCCACTTTAGTTCCAGCGGACTTTTGGACAATTTAGACCAGAAGTGTTGAGCCTAATAGAAGCCTCACATTCTTCAAATACTTTGCTTACGTATCAAAATGGACTAGATTCATTCAAAACTTTAAACATAAACTAAATTTGAATGACGTATGACCTTGCCCTGTTTCACATTTAGTTAATTCTATAGTTTACATGTTTAAGGAAGAATATTCTTATTCCACTGTGAAAGCGTACCTTTCAGGCATAAGTTTTTATCATAAAATTAATGATTTGTTGGACAACACTCATTGTTTTATAGTTCAAAAGATGCTCCGTGGCATGCTTCGTTTAGATAAGCGACACGACTGTCGTAAGTCTATTACTATTGATATATTAACTAGACTTTTAGATGCACTGAAGTTAGTTTGTTATTCAGTATATGAAACATGTTTATTTAAAGCTTCATTTTCAGTTGCATTTTTCGAATTTCTTCGTGTTGGAGAAATTGCAAAATCAAATTTTAATGAAAATCATATTGTAAAACGATCCAATATAACAATTGATATTAATTCAGGGTCACTTAATATAGTAGTTCCATCTTCTAAAACTGATCAGCTGGGTAATTCAGTCACGATCATTCTGGAAAGGAATAAAACTAGTTCGGTTTGTCCTGTTCAGTTGATGTCTGACTATATTGCCATGAGACATATAGATGATGGACATTTGTGTTGTCATGCAAACGAAAAAACTCTAACGAGGTACCAGTTTTCTGAAATTTTAAAGAAAACCCTTGCTTTTCTAGGTTACAATCCTTCTGAATTTAATACACATTCTTTACGTATTGGAGCTGCAACACAGTCTTTTCTTGATGATTTAGATGAAAATAGTATTAAATTGAAAGGTCGATGGAAATCAGCTGCTTACAAAGGTTATATAAGAACAAACCTCGTATAGTACCAAATCACTTAATTTAAGGTACCAGAAAGATATTTGGGTTATTGGCTCTTCAATTGTCACAAGAGCAAGTGATCACGCTCATATTAGGCCTATAGGTGCATCGCTTGGATTAGAGAAAATTGGATCTCAGTTAGTTTGGATCGGTATGTCGGGTATGAAATGACAGAATTTGGTTAGTTTGGTACAAAGTATTATTAATTGGAGAAGTATTCCGTTTGCTGTTATTATTCACTGTGGGGGTAATGACATTGGGGACACACCATGTGGAGAAATATTTACCATATGAAGTTTACCATAGCCATTCTCTCAAAGATGTTACCTGACACTGCATTAGTGTGGTCAAGTATTTTACCTAGATTTAAATGGAGGTTCTCCAATAACACATATTTGCTGAGAATAGGAGGATACGTTATAAAACATACAGATTTTGAGGATAAACACGTTGGACTTTTTAGTGACGATGGGGTGTATCTTTCCTTCATCGGCAATGATATATTCCTAAATCAGATTCAAGGAGCTTTGGAAATGTTTTTTAAATTTCCTCATTGTTTGGTTTCCCTTACAATGAATAAAATAGTTTAGATGTTGTTTTAACTATTCAGTATATCAATTAAAATTTTAATGACGTTGACAGTATTGAATTTACGTTGAAGTTGTTGTTGATTTTGATTTATCAATTAAAAATTTTAATGACGTTGACAGTATTGAATTTAAGTTGATGTTGATAATGATGTTGATGTTGAAGATGATTGATGTTGAAGTTGATAATGATGTTGAGTTTGATGTTGATGTTATTTGAAATTTGTTGATTCTTGCTGTTAAATTTGTCATGCGGTAAATTTTATGGCGGATTACCAGTTGCGCAACTAGTTTCTCAACTGGTAATGTTGGCCGAATTTACTTTAAGCTGCTATGGATTACCCAGTGGCTCCTGATATAACTTTGTTACTGCTGGATCGCCCTTCAGTAATTCAATCGTCATCAAATTTTGATTAACAAGTTGGTTGTGTTTCTTTGTTGCAATAAATACCATGACAAATTTACAGCCAAATAAATCTTATTTTCTTAAATGCTTTTGATTCATAGTTTATTTGTTAGATTCACTACATCATAACGTCAAACAATGAGAATACAAATTTAAACAATACAAGTACACTTACATTTTATCTAGGCCCCATTTTCAATCTATGTGTGTATATATATATATATATATATATATATACAATAAATTGTAAATATTTAAATAATTACATAGAAGAAAATCAGTTTTAAAAAGCGTTTATTTATTAAATGTATTGATAAAAAGGTGAGTCCCTCCTTGTACATGCATTAAGTCATCATTAATATTTCGTTTATAAGTTTATCATACTGTATGATTT